TAAAAGGAGGCTTATGTGTGATAGAGAGTATCATATCACTGGGTTTGGATGCACTGGCGAACTTTGCACCGACTCTCAAGGTGAGAAAGGGCAATGCAGGTACATACCGAAGAGGCTAGCAATTTGCGGAAAGGTGAGAGTGCGTATAATCCATGGACTCACATACTTGCGAAAGTCTATTAGCCCTCGAAGCAAAGTACTATTGCGCATGCCCATATGAGGGAGGTTGGCAGGAGTTAACCATCATGCGCCCCCGACTGATAACCCACAAGTATAGAGGATCGCAACAGTCTTCGAGGGTAGTATTTCACCCAAATTTAACCAGGGGTTCCCCTTGCTCCGCATCTACGTTGTCGAAGCATTCCGGATTCCTTAGCTCGGAGAATACTGGATGGCAACTACGAAGAAGGGGCACCGAAATCCAAATCTTGCACGACAACCAGAGCCGCTCATGGCACGAGTAGCGCACCACGTGACCAGTATGGAAGGCGAACACTTGCCGCTAAGTGTTGGTAAATGTAGTAGAAAACAAAAAAACCGCACCTATACGATCACCTAGTAACAATATGAAGATGCATAACTGGTTGGGATCACGATCGTTATCGTCACCGAGTTGCAGCGGAAGAAGAACGTGTCGGTGTAGATCATACTTGGAGTCCCTCAAACCATCGATGAACAATCCCTCTTACCACCCACGAACAGTCTCTCGAACCAAAGACCGAAAGCACCGCCTTTTTTACTTGGTTGCAAGCGTGCAGCCTTCACGATCCGGCAGCGCTTCACCGTCCAGAGCTAATCATTGCTGAAGAATTAGAGGGAGGAGATTAAAACCACATGGGGCTTCTAATTATGAGGACAAGAGGATTATGCTAACTCTAATTAGTAAACTAGGACAAACTGGAACTAGAAGAACTAGATGAGGCTCGAAAACTTGTGTATCCAATAGAGCAAAAACCCCTAGTATGTATAGGTTGGAGGAGGAGGAGAGGGCAGACACCAAGGAGGGAAAGGCCCTCCTTGGGGCGCCGGTCAAAGGGGGAGGAGTCCTCCTCCCCAAGTCCAATTCGCCCCCTCCCATATGGTAAGGGGGGCTCCACTTCCTTATGGGCCTTCGTGGCCCATAATTCCTTCCACCACTTTGGCCTTTTTAGACTCGTTGATGTTTATGTTGGAAATATGCCCTAGAGGCAATAATAAAATGGTTATTATTATATTTCCTTGTTCATGATAATTGTCTATTTTTCATGCTATAATTGTATTGACCGGAAATCGTAATACATGTGTGAATACATAGACCACAACATGTCCCTAGTGAGCCTCTAGATGACTAGCTCGTTGATCATTAGATGGTTATGGTTTCCTGACCATGGACATTAGATGTCATTGATAACGGGATCACATCATTAGGAGAATGATGTGATGGACAATACCCTATCCTAAGCATAGCACAAGATCGTGTAGTTCGTTTGCTAAGAGCTTTTCTAATGTCAAGTATCATTTCCTTAGACCATGAGATTGTGCAACTCCCGGATACCGTAGGAATGCTTTGGGTATATCAAATGTCACAACGTAACTGGGTGACTATAAAGGTACACTACAGGTATCTCTGAAAGTGTCTATTGGGTTGGCATGAATCGAGACTGGGTTTTGTCACTCCGTATGACGGAGAGGTATCTCTGGGCCCACTCGGTAATGCATCATCATAATGAGCTCAATGTGACTAAGGAGTTAGTCATGGGATCATGCATTGCGGAACGAGTAAAGAGACTTGTCGGTAATGAGATTGAATGAGGTATTGGGATACCGACGATCGAATCTCGGGCAAGTAACATACCGATTGACAAAGGGAATTGTATACGGGATTGATTGAATCCCCGACATCGTGGTTCATCCGATGAGATCATCGTGGAACATGTGGGAGCCAACATGGGTATCCAGATCCCGCTGTTGGTTATTGGCCGGAGAGCTGTCTCGGTCATGTCTGCATGATTCCCGAACCCGTAGGGTCTACACACTTAAGGTTCGGTGATGCTAGAGTTGTTATGGGAATTAGTATGTGGTTACTGAATGTTGTTCGGAGTCCCGGATGAGATCTCAGACGTCACAAGGAGTTCTGGAATGGTCCGGAGATAAAGATTTATATATGGCAAGTCCTTATTCGGTTGCTGGAAGTGTTCGGGGGTTTATCGGTATTGTACCGGGACCACCGAAAGGGTTCCGGGGGTCCACCGGGAGGGTCCACCTGCCTCGGAGGGCCCTATGGGCTGAATATGGAGGGGAACCAGCCCCTAGGTGGGCTGAGCGCCAAACCCCCCTAGGGCCCATGCGCCTAGGGTCTGGGGGAAACCTTAAAGGGGGCGCCCCCCTTGGCTTGGGGGGCAAGCCTCCTCCCCTTGGCCCCCCCTCTAGATCCATCTGGAGGGGGCCGTCCCTCCTCTCCCTTGCCCCTATAAATAGAGAGGAGGTGGGAGGGCTGCCGCACCCCTTCCCCTGGCGTAGCCCTCCCCCTTTCCAACACCTCCTCTTCCTCTGTAGTGCTTGGCGAAGCCCTGCTGGAGAACTGCAAGCTCCACCACCACGCCGTCGTGCTGCCAGAGCTCTCCCTCAACTTCTCCTCTCCCATTGCTAGATCAAGTAGGAGGAGACGTCCCTGGGCTATACGTGTGTTGAACGCGGAGGCGCCGTCCGTTCGGCGCTAGATCGGATCTTTCACGATTTGAATCGCCGTGAGTACGACTCCATCATCCGCGTTCTAGTAATGCTTCCGCTTAGAGATCTTCAAAGGTATGAAGATGTGCATCCTCTCTCTCTCTCTCTTGTTGCTAGAATCTTCTAGATTGATCTTGGTGATACGTAGGAAAATTTTGAATTATTGCTACGTTCCCCAACAGTTTAAATTAAATATAAATATTCTAAATACTTATAGACCATTTTATTTATATTTTAAGATCACTGGAAACATTTTCCACCTATATATAATATATATGTAATACCCGGTATTACTCGATATTCACCGAAACCCTTCCGGTGACACCGAAACACTACCGGATACTCTCGAAACTATTCCGAATATTCATGAAATAATTTCACAAATATATTATCATGACTCCCATCCTACTAACACTCAGCAGATATAATTTCCTTAAGCTTGTGACCCCGTAGGTTCGGTAACTCACAGATATGGACGAAACCGTCCGTTCAATGACCGGCAGTGGGACCATGGGCATCCATATTTACCCATGTGAGTACACGAATGGTATTTGAGTGAACCTTTGGTTATCATGTGATTTCTCCTTTACTTCGCGATACTTCACAAAACCCGGGATGCATGGTTATGCTCCTGAGTCATCACTATGCTCATTATACTGAAATCCTCATTACCGGTTTTGTTCTTCTTTCTCGTTATAGTGTTTTGGCATCCCTGTGACGAAGTCACTTGTGTCTGGAAAGATTATGATTGAGGCCATCACACAGAGAGGGCCCTAAGAATATCCCTCCATCATCGGAGGAGCAAATCCCACTCTTGAGCTATCCAACCACTTGTCAGACTTTCTGATGTACATGTAAGTTGTTGTTATGATCACTGTGTTACAAGTAATGTTTGAGCAATCCCAAAACCCATCGTATGGTAAGAAGTGACCATGACACTCTCATGGTCTAAGGAGAAATATCACATGTTAACACCCGTGTTATTACAACTGAATACAGACGATATTAATTCAATTCACAACAAATAAGTTTGGGTCGATTTAATATGATCGTTCTTCCAACTTCATAATCTCAATGTTGTTTTAGGATTATCGTTACACTTAACGATATCCTAAGATCCGGAAAACGTAATGACCAACAACACTTGAGCTAGTCCCAGATGCAAGACTAGGAACCTTCTATTTAACCGTTTATCGATCCATACGTGCATATGAGTTTTTCATTGAATCACATATTCAAGGATCATAGTAGCTATAACATAGAATATAAACTCTTTAAATATGAATATGGAAATATAATAATACAAATATTATTGCCTCAAGGGCATATTTCCAACACTAAGGAGGTCAACGTTGCCATTGCACTCACGTCACTCTGGCTTTGATGCTCCATGCGGTGGAGTAGGGCAACGTGGCATTGCCTCACCTTCTCTACAAGACGTGTGATGCACCAGTGGGCTCCTCAGGTGGTGGCACGAAGAAGAGACGGGGAAAGGGGGGAGTCGGGGATTGGGTGACATGGTTTTGTCACCCTCGAGTCACCTGTGAGGGGGAAACACGAAGGCGAAATGGTTTAGTTCCTAAAAACAAAATAAGGTTTGGTCCATCAACCATGAGTTTCCGGACCTCCATCGATGAAATCCACGTATCATCTACCTCAATCAAACGATTTTTTTGGTTGATTAACTCTCATTGAGTTTATTTATGGTATGTCGCTTCTTGTCAAATATATTTTTCGGCGACTACCTAATCTTCAGTTAACCGACCGGATTTATGCTGTTTCAACCAATCCCTCTCTCCTACCCCGGTTGGCCCACCCACTCCTACCGGCCGAACCACCAGCCCCCGCAACCCGTTGTCACCTCGCCTCACAGCCCCGATCCGTTTCCTCCGCCAAGCCCCCCTCCCCCCTCCGACACATTGCGCGTCGCCGATGAACCCCTCCCGCACCCGCATCGTCAACCCTCGAACTCGCTTCCGCTGGGTCCCCATCCCAACCTCCATGGTTTGCTTCCCCTTTTGACTCGGCTGGAATCCGAAGTCAAAAAAATATCATAAAATCAGGCAAATGAAGAATAGGGATTGCAAAAAAATTCTAAACGATACAATAAAAATATTTAGAACGGAGGAATCTCCGGAGAAAGAGACAGAGGGCGCAGCGGCACACTTGTTTCCAACTCTGTCCAGTCCACTGGTAGAATACAGATTGAGATCCCCATCGCCAGCGTCGTCCAGCGGCGGCAAAGCAGGCAGCTTTCCTCTCCTCCACGAAGGAAGATTCCCTGCTACGAGATGGCCGGCGACCTGCGCCACCGCCGCCCCGCGGGGGCTGCTGACGCCGGCGGGGAGGAGGAGGGGGACGGAGGAGCGGAGGCGGCGGCCAAGGCCAAGGCGGGCCCGCCGTCCGGCGGCGAGGGGGCGGAGGCGGCGGGGCCGGGGAGGAAGGAGGCGCTGGGGTGGCTGGAGTGGAGCCGCGGGTGGATGGGCGTCGTGGGGGAGTTCTTCTTCCAGCGGATCGCCGCCAGCCACCTCGCCAACCCGCTCGAGCTGCCCCCGCTCGACGGCGTCTCCATAATCGTCACCGGCGCCACCAGCGGCATCGGCCTCGAGATCGCAAGGTCCTTCCTTCACCCCTTCGTTTCCATCCCCACCTGCCACTCTTCTCCCCCACCCTCGCATAAACAAACAAATAAACCATGGAGGGAGCTGAATTTGGCGTCCAGAGATTGGAATTCTTGGCTTCTCAACTGCTCTAGATGGGATCTTTTTAACTGTTCATCCTACTCAGGTGGTGACTTGGTTTTAGGTCGTCTTGTTTTCTGTACGTATTACTCCTTCGAGTTCAGCAACTAGATAGTTGGTACTATGTTGACTTGAGTGGGACTTGTGTTTGCTTGGCTAAGGCTGGCACTTTTTATTATAAATAACGTAGGCCAATTCTGAAGAAATGAGTGGGCTTGGTCAATGCACTAATTGTTTGGCCATGTGGAGGATAATTGAACGAGCATGGCTTGATTTGGTGAACGTCATCAATATTTAGCTAAATCAAATCATGCATCGACCTAAGATTAATGGAAAAGCCCGGTTCATCTCTTTATAGCACGGTTCTTCTCTTTATGCACATGGTAGTGAATAAAGTGGTTGACTCATAGTTCCTCTTGTACATGACATGAGATTGGATCAAATACTTCACAAGCTGGCTCTACTGAACCTGTGAAATAATTATCCGGGTCCAAATAAGAGGCCTTCTTCTGAAACTAATATTGAGCATACATCTGGCGTCATCATCAAACCAGGCAACTCGCACAAGCAGGGGCCCATCTTGTGATGGCAGTTAGGAGACCCAAGGTGGCGCGTGAGCTGATACAAAAATGGCAGAATGAACAAACAGAAGTTTCCATGCCACTTAACATTGAGGTAATTATGAAGGCTATACACTGCGGATTACTGGTTGGTGAATTGATGGTTCTGAATGTGTTGAGTTTATTATACTGTATGACCTGATTGTGTTTCATGACATTTTGTTATTCTTCATGTGACACATGGACATAAATTTAGAGCTTTTGATTTCTGTTGGCTCTAGTTGAGTTCCACATAATTGTTTTAAGCACTACACTACCTATGTATATGTTGCAAGTGCATATCTCAATTATTAAAGACATTGCATGATTTTACTGCAGACTATTTGACACTGTTTTGAATATTCATCTGAAGGTAATGGAGCTTGACCTGATCTCCCTTGACTCGGTTGCAAGATTTGCTGATACTTGGAATGCTCGCATGGCACCCCTACACGTATTGATCAACAATGCTGGCATTTTCACCATAGGAGGTCTGTATGTAACCTGATTCTTTTGATTTTAGCCTTTTAAAATGATCCAACCCATGTGCTGCATAGTGAAGTGTTTAAACTGTATCACCTTTCCCTTCCCTGTAGAGCCTCAGCGTTTTACAAAGGATGGATATGAAGAACACATGCAAGTGAACCATCTTGCGCCAGCTTTACTAGCAATGTTGCTTCTACCTTCCCTTATTAGAGGCTCTCCCAGCAGAATTATAAACGTCAATTCAGTTGTGAGTTTTCTATTATTACCAGTCTCTTCTACTAGTATGTGTAGTCTTAGGAACCAATTGTTGCTGGTCACTGAATGCAGTTTTCTATTATTACAAGTACTTGCTACAATGTACACAATCTGATATTCATGCTAATATAAACATTTATGAAGAAGTTTTACTTATTTCAATTTTCAAGTCATTGTCCTAATGTCATTTGAGAGTAAGCTACTATGTAGCAGCACTGTATGTATACTTCCAGCATCTGACAGGCTTATGTTCGATTTCAGATGCACACAATAGGTTTTGTAGATGCTGAAGATATGAACCTTACATCTGGAAAGCATAAGTACAGAAGTTGGTTGGGATACTCAAATAGCAAGTTAGCACAGGTATCATAGTCCCGCTTCATTCCAAGTGGAATATCGTGTTCAAGCTTTTTATGCATGTTGTTTCATGTTACTTTTGTCTGAGTTGTTCTTGTTTCACATTCAGGTAAAATTTAGCAGCATATTTCATAAGAGAATTCCGGCAGAGGCTGGTGTCCATATTGTTTGTTCCTCTCCTGGGATTGTCCACACAAATGTTGTGAGTGCCACCCCCAACATTCCCTCCAGTTTCATTCATCATCAGTTGTTTTGTTCTAAAAGGTGAAACTGAGAAGCGTATTTACCTAGTTATCGTTATGTATTTTTACTAGGCATTTGGAGAGGAAGAAAATGACATAGATGCCATAAGATGTCTACCAACATGGAAAATATCTGTATTGTAGAAATATAGAAAGGATTAGATAACGTACCATTCTCAACTTAGCAACTGAATACAATGGCAGACAAAAAGAAATACACCAATACAGAGATGCATCTCAGCATATATGTTGTGAGAAGATTGGTTCACATCTATTGATCTATTCCTAGTATCATGTCCACTGCCCTCACGGACAATTCCTATTGATAACTCTGATGGGCCATGATCCCGTCACGATACAATTATCAACTAATCCTGCTCTCATTATTTTTCTTTATCCTGGATATTGACTTACTTGCCCATGGCATGACACAGGCACGGGACCTCCCTAAAATTCTTGTAGCTGGATATCGTTTCATTCCATACTTCATATTTGATCCTCAAGAAGGTCGGTTCCTCAATCTTTTGCTCGCCGCCAGCTGTTAGTTAAAAAATCTCCACATCTGCTGATACACTTCATTTCCAATCCAATGCAGGTTCAAGAAGTACATTGTTTGCAGCATCCGACCCCCAGGTTCCGGAATACTGCGAGACGTTGAAGTCTGAAGACTGGCCTGTTTGTGCCTGCATCAACTACGACTGTAATCCGATGAATGCCTCTGAAGAAGCACACAACCTCGAAACATCGCAGCTTGTTTGGGAGAAGACTCTCGAGATGATTGGCCTCCCGTCAGATGCCCTGGAGAAGCTCATCGAAGGGGAACCGGTTCAGTGCCGGTATGGTCAACAGAAGGCTGAATAGAAAGGAGAATAGGCAGGCTATCTCAAAACACATGATCAGCCATTCAGCCTGATCCAGTTTGCTGTTAATTTGCTAGTTTGGAGGTTGTACTTGCATAGTCAGGGTACCTTTGTTACAGACGCGGATTTGGTGGACATAGGTTCCACGCGCACTCCTTATGAATCGTAAATTTGATAGAAAAAAAACTAGAAAAGATGAAAAATCTGATTTTTTTTTTGTAATATACATAGTCAACTGGTATACTCACGTATGAAGTTTCACGAAGAAATCACATCCATGGTAATCTGGGTGAAAATGATAAAATCAAAACTATATTAAAAAACATTGTTTGATGAATTGTATGTTCCCAATAGTATTTTCTTCATTAAGAATACCATGGGTGCCGATACATCACAAAACTTCACACGTTTGTAGAATGGTCGACTAAGTTTCATACCCAAAAAATTCAGATTTTTTTATTTTTTTTGGTATTATTTTTGAATTTACTATTCACATGGGTGCACATGAAACCATGTCCACCTTTGTATTTTCGCCTTTGTTACTACCTATTTTACCACATTTGGTTAAGTTCTTACCAAAAAAGTGGAGGGCAGCAGACTTGGAAGTTCTTACCAAAAAAGTGGAGGTGTGCTTGTTTGAAGTAATAAAGTACCTTTCATGGCAAAAGAACTTCTGAAGTTTGAGTTAAAAAAAAACAATTTTCTTGTCATCGTGGTACTGCTTGGGCATTAAGTGAACCTTTTCCACTTATTATATCATCAACTTATTTATCTTCTTGAAATGATGTAACAAGATAAACACAAATCTTCTCAATGAAAGAACACAAATGTTCTACACGACATATTTTGTTTTTTTCAAAGATGCAACTGCTCACATTTCAACTTTATATAAACAAAACAGGTACTTCCAAATGCATCACACAGGTACTTGTGGGTAGAAACTCAAGAAACAGACCAGTGCAATTCCATACATAACACTCATACAAGAGGTATGGTAGCACTGAATATATTTTCCAAGCAAGAGGGTTAAGATCCAGATTAATTACAGGTATCACCTCTCTATGGGACAAGTGACCCCCAAAACAACAGGCTAAACACAATAACTGCAATCGCGAGCTTCCTTTCATCTCAGGGACCTGACGAACGCTCTGACTTGCCAATGGGCGAATGGGAGCGCAAGTCAGCATCCCGGGGTCGGCACGCCTAAGCATTCGGCGGCCAGAGCTTTGGATCTTGAGTTGTGTCCATGGCGGTTGGGGGCAACCAGTGCCACATCGCCATTCCAGGGAATGCAGCAGGGACCGGAGCGCCTTTGTTGGCTGGGACTTGATAGGGTGGTGCAAATGGAGGGAAGACGGCGGGGTGGAACGTAGCTGGATAAGGCATATGAGGAGCAAATCCTGTAGGAGCAGCACTCGCTGCTTTGAGTTGTTGTTCCAGCCTTTCCTTTTCTGCCTTCAGGCTCAACTTCTCATCTCGGAGCTCATTCTTCTCCACCTGGAAAATAACAGAGCCACTTGTAAAAATGCGCAGGATGCAATGTCAGTGAATTGGTGAAAGATGGCACATCTAGTAACTTAATTGATGGTCAGCCAATTGTTGCACATAAGTCAAACTGGGCGCAGCGAAGATGTACGAGAGCTAGTTTGCCATTTTAATTCCAGTACTAAGAACAGAGGGGAGAAAAGACTCATGGATGTTCATGGCAGAGCAAAACTTTAACAGCCACAAACAAGTGTGTGGATGACGTCAAGCATTTCGAAGTCCAACAATAAGATGCAAAGTGATGCGGGAACAAAGGTACCTTAAGGTCCTTGATTGTCTCTCGAAGATTCACATTTGATTCTTTCAGCTTTTCGGTCTCGCCTCTGAGCTGTGTCAACATACGAGTTGCATCGCTCAAGATACTTGCTTTGTCCAACTTAGCGTTCTTCCCAGGATTGCTAGCCGAACATTCTTCAAGACCAGTGTGCTTGCCAGAATTCATAACAGAACATAATTCAAGAAACCTGCAATTGGATAAAAATCACAGTTGATACAGACATGGAAAAAGAATATATGTTTGCGCGTGTATGCATCTTTTCCTTTTCCTACATGGAAGAGGTGCTTTAGGAGTACCTACTGCCAGATGCCCATACCTGTCATTCAGTTTATCCCTCCGCATTTTCTCGCGGCAAGCCTTTGACTTTGGACCAGATGAAGATGGTTCATCTCTGCCCCTGCACAAAATCAAATTATTATTATGTTAGTATTGCAGATCCAGTATGGTGTTAACTAAGGAAATAAATCAGCAAAGAAAATGCATAGTGTGTTACAAAATATTTCATTAGTGTTAATGGCACCAGTGGCATGCATAACAGACAAGCATAATGTGTCAGACCATGCTTAGAATATAGTAGAAGAAACAAAGGATTATGCAATCAGGTACTTCCTCCATAAAGAAATATAAGAGCGTTTTGATCACTAATAAAGTAGTGATCTAAACACTCTAATATTTCTTTACAGAGGGAGTACTACTCAGAATGATCAGTAATGATTAACAATTCACATGCTCTTAAGTCCACTATATCCTTTGTTATGCCTATAAAGACTGAACATGGAAAGCACTATCGCCTATCAGTACTGAATAAACAGCAAGGAAATGGAATACTACCAAGAAACAAAATTCAGAGGAATCTTTCCATGGTTATGCAATAAAGATACTCCACTTTTTGTAAAGAAATATCAGAAGTGTAAGACTGGCACCTTTTCCCCAAATTAGAGTGCCCAAGACCAGAGTCACCTCCGCTGACATCCTCAATCCCAAGCCTGGCAAATAAACATCAGTCAAGTACAAACAGAAGAATATTCAAGGGGCAGTTTATCCGCTCAAGTATGCAGCAAAAGAAAATGCCACTCGTATCTTAAATGGTGCGTGCTTCAAAACAAACCAACAGCTGGGATCATCATCATCATAACTATAAACATCATTCCCATGTACATACTGGGCAAGGAGCTCAGGAAGGTCACATCACTCCAGTCTACATGGTACATACTGGGAAAGAATCCCTGCATCGCTGCATAGCATTCAGCACACAATTGTCCATTGCTAAAAGAAGAAGTGCACCGCAAAATCACTAATCGCTAAGCAAAACCGGCACACACTCATATGCCATAAGATCTGCAGATTTGTGCCACGGGTTAACCAGTTCCTCACGGGTATAATCACAACATCACCAATGACCAGAATTGCATAGCAGTTCTTAAAGCCTTGGAGCCACATATTTCGCACAGAGAATTACAGAGAAGAGCTGATTCCTCTAAATCTCGCATCAACCAGGGCTGCAGACCATATATGAGATCGCGGAGACTACTAGCATGAGCGTTCGCTTTCTCCACCGCCGCAGCCCGTGCGGCCGCGCAGCGCAGATGAGATGCGGCAAGAACCGCGCCGCCCGCGGCCAATAAAGAACTCCACGGCGACAGCGACCTCGATGGTACTACAAAATCCCGCGCGCGGAATCGCAAAAGCTAACGCAATAGGCAGCAGAATAAGAAGAAACAGATATGGGTCTCTGCCGCCGCGGGCGGGCGTGCGTCCGTACCCTCCGTCGCAGAAGGCGACGAGGCCCTCCCCGCCGTCGCCGGCGCCCCCGACGAGGAACTCGTCGACGGGGTCTCCGACGCCGACGCCGACGCCGCACATCATCGCGGCGGCCGTGGCTCCGGGCCGCCCGAGGGATCCGCCGCCGTGCCTGGCTAGGGTTCGTTCGCGGGGGAGGCTGGCTGCTGGGGAGGAGAGGGGGAGGGGATGGTGAGGTCTGCCTGCGATTTTTTGCAGAAAGCACCCTGGACGCGCTCTTGTTGCCGCAGTGAGGGGCGTGTTCGGGATTTGGGGTTTCTCGGAGGTCCTATCCGGGTGGCGAGTGAGGAAGGAGAACCGGTGGCGTGCGATGGCTCGTGTCGTTGGGCTGCGTGCCGTGTGGGCCCCGATTGTTATCGCGTTGTCTGTTCCACGTGCTCCATGTGGTCAGACTTGGGTCGATGGTTTGTCAGGCAATTTTGGTATGTTGCACTTCTCTTAGCTTTAAATGGTCACTGTTTTAGTGTTTTGTGTGCCACTGTTTTCTATTGTTTCAGGCAATTCTTTGTGTCATCTACACCACTATATATAACGGTATAAAAAAAATTCAAGGCAGCGGAACCATAAAATTGACAAATCATAAAAAATTTGTGAATTCAAAAAATGATCGGGGAACCATAAAATGTTCGTGATTTTAGAAAATTGTTTGCATATTATTAAGAAAATATATGATTTTGAAAACAATGCTCGGGAAATAGAAATGTTCATCATTTTTTTCAAAATGATCATGTATTCAAATCATATTAGGGAATTTGAAAAGGATGTCCATGAAATTTTAAAAAATGTTCACAAAGAGTCAAACAAATCCATTGAAACAAATCGTAAATAACGAACAAAACGAACCATCGCTTACATAGAGGTTTCTTTACGGGATCTGTAGAGGTCGTTTTATGATTTTATTTAGTCCATCACGTGTTAGATAAAAAAAATTCCCGTGTTCTATACAACACCGAGCCCCCCCCCCCCCAAAAAAAAACTCGACACAACTTCCTATGGATTAGTTTTTGTAATCTATATGAAAATGACTAAATGTCTAATTTGTCTCCATACATAGCTATGTTTATCCTGATATGAAGTACACCGCGACGCTAGGTCAAGGCGAGACACATTATTTATCAGTCTAGCACATGCAGGGTCCATCAATATAATGTAGTCTACGCAGCCATAAAATATTTAGTTGTGGCGCCTTAGGAAATCAAGTCAGTGATGAGACCATCATTTTTTTACTTTTTGAAATCACTTTATAAAAGTCCCTTATCTCTGTATGATTCATGATTCACGTGTAGTTTATGAAATGATATTTTAAAAGTCTTTATCTCATTCTTCACTATTGCAGGACGCTGCTAACGCTACACTACAATCAGAAACCCTTCGATGAAACTGTATGCGATGCATTAATCACAAACGGTGATGTAAAAAATCCGTCAAAAAAGATGCAAAACGTTTGCGCTGACGGATACATCAAACTCGGTTCAGATTTTAGTTGTGTGTGCGATGCGGGGCATACGGTTCACTTCAATGAACTATTTGCGATGAGGCAGAAGAACAAAAACGGGCAGCCAAATAAAGGCGTGCGCGATATACGACACACAATTCAGTCGGATTAACTGCTTGTGACGAGACAGAACAACAGAAACGGGCAGACAAATGAAGGTGTGTGATTGAGGGCATACACTTCAGACGGATGAACTGTTTGCGATTAGGCAACACAACAGAAACGGTTAGCCAGATCAAGGTGCCTGCGTCCCTTCACATTCCAAATTACTACCATGCTATATTTAATTGCAAACATGTTCACACCGATCAAAATCTAAACGGTTTTCCACTTAGGAGCCTATTAGTACCCGGTTATAAATACTACCTACTCCAAGATGACTGCACATTCCTCCTCAACTCCTCACCCACAAAAACAAACAAGTCATTCATCGTAGTTCCCTTGCGTCTGCCATGGCCCGCATGAGTTCTGGGTCGAGAGATTACTACTAGGGAGAGGCGAGCATGGAAGCGGAAGCACGAGAGTGAATGTGCATTCATGCCCTTAATCTTATTTTGATGTTGATGACAACATGCATATAGGGGACTAATCATGTTTATCAAGTATATCTCAGGATTATGTCTCAAGGGCCGTGTGTGGATCATGACTACGGACAAATATATAGCACTCAAGAGCGAAGATACAAGACAATAGCTTTGGCTCTTTTTCGGTTGTTCTTGAGTATAGGGATCCCACACTATTAAGAGGGGATCGTCGGATATCGTGAAAGACTTGCTCAAAACCTAGAAAGTATTCTCTCATAGCATCTTTGTTTTATCTCTAATTCTTCCACTACCTTGAGCACAAAGTCTGTTGTGATCCTGAGCTAGTGTGCTCTGTTATCACCGGACATCCAAAATTCTATGGACGTCTGATCCCTCACAGCCGTCCGGGCATATGGCTCTCTCCGGATGTCCGATGGATCTTCACAGAACGTAATTAGCGGACTTCTGGTCCTCTCCGGACGACCGGTCACCGGACGTCCGTTTTCTCTCCGGGCATTCAGTACATCCTCAACAGAACACTTTTTATGGATTTCTGGTCCTCACCGGACGACCGGTCACCCGTCTGGTGGCTGTGTGTCTCGTACTGCTGTGTGGCATGTGGATTCCCAGCAACAAAACGACCGACAGCATGTCAGACGTTTGGTCCAATCTGTGCCACCGGACGTCCGACAACTCCAGTACATTAAGTGGCTCACGGTCAGTTTTTACACTACTACTATATATAGCCTCCTCCCTCCACGGGATAAGGTTGACCATTCACTTTGAGCTGTCCAAGAACACATCTCACTCCCACACCAAATCCTAGATCCCCAAGGGATTGGGAACATTTGAGAGAAGTTCTCCAATCAAGCGATAGATCCACTCCTTCCCCTTCTACTCACCAAAGGAATTCGTGATTTGAGCAAGTTCTTGAGCTTTTCCCGTCGTTCTTGTTACTCTTGGAGGTTGGAGACTCCTAGGCGGTAGGAGTCATTCAGAGAGGAATCGATCATTGTGATTACCCCTGGAAAGTTTGTGAGAGTTTGGAGACCACCCCAAGGTCTACCACTAGTGATTGAGAAACGCCTTCATGGTGTTGTCTCAAAGGGAGAATAGAGTGAGCCTTCGTGGCGTTGGTGTGCCTTCGTGGTAACATCCACCTCTCTAACGGTGACGTATCTTCCCTCCAAGGAAGTGAACATCGACATACATCCTCTCTCTCGAAGTTGTGGTTATCCCTAACCCTAACTTCCTACTTGTGGTTACTTGTCTCGTTGTCTTTACTTATATCATACTGTGCTTGCTTACTCTCCTACTAGTGTTACTTGTTTACCTTGCTTAGCTCATACCATCACACTTGCAGTTGTTAGGCTCAACTTCATATTCCGCATTATTGCCTAAAATTGCTAAGTAACAATTAAAATTTGTAATTGTACCTATTCACCCCCCTCTAGGTCCATCTCGATCCTTTCAATTGGTATCAGAGCCTCCTGCTCTATTCTTGTGGGTTAACCGCCCTAGAGCGAGATGAAGCCCGATGGGACTCTCCTTGTTGCAGATCCAAAGGATAAGGGCGTGGCTTCCACGGAAGACAAGTCCTTCACTTCTGAAGATCTGCAATGGGCGCTTGCTAAGCAAAAGGAGGAGCATGATGCTTCTCTTGAGGCCTGGGTCCAAATGAGACTAGCCACACACTGACCACGATGTTTGCACCACTTTCTGGTGGTGCGGCCTCGAGGCTAACTATGCCTACTCCTTCACTTGGCCAACAACCTCCTAGTAATGAACACTCCAGTGTTCCTTGGCTTTATGCAAGACCTCAAGTAGAGAAACCAAAGTATAACCCTCAAGGCAAACCTCATTTATTCATGACACAACCGACTTTGCTTTGTGGAGAGTTGCTATACAGGATCATCTTCGATATGGAAATGATGAGATGTTGGAAATCTTGGAGTATGGTTATCAAGCTGTAGACCTGAAGAATCTTACACCAAGAGAAGTACATGACAAACATCTCAACGACACCGCAATTATGTGCATAAGGAGAGGTATGCCTGACAAGCAAAGGAAACCATACATACACATCACAAGTGCCAAGGAATTATGGGATAGCATTGTGAGGACCAAGACCGGTACCTCCACTCTCCGGCTTGCTCAATATGAAATTGCCAAGGGTCAATTGCAAAACTTTTGTATGGAAAAAGGTGGATCCCCCACGCAGCTCCTTGAGCGTCTCATGACTCTCATCACTGACATAGAGTCTTGTGATTGTGACAAGACACAAGATGGATTCAACTTGACTAAGCGGTTTCTCGTGGACAAGTTGCTTCATGCTCTTGATCCATATCATCACCAAATGGTGTGGGACATAAGACAACACCATGGATTCAAGGAAATGACCCCGAATGACATCATATCCACATTCAAACTATTTTAAGAATCAAAGGAAAATACCACAAAACATCTAGCCATGCACGGTACCCGAACATCCAAGATCAACCTTGCATTGAAGGCCAAGCATGTATGTGAAGAAGAGCAAAGTGAAGAAGAAGAAGAAGATGATGATGAGGAAGATGGTGATGAGATTGACTCCTATGAGAGTCCTTCATATGAAGACATTGCTCTCTTTGTCAAGAAGTTTAGCGCGGGAAAATTCAAGGGAGATTCCAGAAGAAGAAAGTGAGGAAATGCTACAACTGTGAAGAAACCAACAACTTCTCCAACGAATGCCCGTATGAGAAGAGAGAAGATAAACCAAGGTTTCCCAAGACCTTTCCCAATAAAAAGTTGCCAAATCCTCTGAACTCCAAGCTCAAGAAGAGAGATGGGAAAGCAATGGTTGCTCATGAAGAATCCGATCCGGATGATGTTAGTGGTGTTGCCAGAGTAGCTCAAGATTCTCAAAACACCTTGAGGCTAGTCAACAATAGTGGTGAGGTTGTCACCTACAACTACATGAAAGAATACAAGGGCAATGGTCACAAGTGCTTAATGGCAAAGGCCGTGGTAGAAGATGGAGAGGATGAAAACTCTCCTGACAAGGTCAA